ACCAATCCACACTCAAGCTATCAAAAATGAGAAAATTGTTAAAGTCTTAAACATAACTGACACCCAGTTCAGTGTGTCTATACAGAGCTGATGAGCACAGGCATGTTGGCAGTAGGAACTTCAGTCAATGATGTACATATAAAAAGGAAACATCCTAAGTGGTCAGTCTCACTGACACTGACACCTGACAGTGGCCAGGTCTTCCCTGCCCCCCACTTCAAGTCAGCAGGGACTTAATACTATCCTTGAAGGGTTTTGATTATGCATTCCACCAGGAGAAGGCACCAGAAGTAATCCTTGAGACTGATTTCCCAGAGAGCTGTTTCTCACCACACAGCAAATCTGTGGTTACCTCAACCCCAAATTTCACAATCTATAAGACTATACATTTGTTACTGTTGTTGTAAGTTACTAAAGTTATGATTTTTATTTTGCTTCAGAGATGTGTGTCTTGTTATCATGCCCCAGGGTTATGTAATGCTTTTATCTTGGCCTTCAAATATTTGAGGCCACTGATGCTATGAGTGCAGTTCATAGTTTATGATCTTTTGGGAACATCATTTTGAAGGCAATAGGGTTTAGAGAAATCAGATTTCCTGTTGTCAGTTATAAATATGAGAAAACATGAACTTGCAAAGAGAAGATACAGGATTCTGATGTAGTCAATCTTCTGTAATCTACAGTCCCTGAAGCACCCACTTCATTTGAAGAGGGTCTGAGGCTTGGAGAAGAGGAGAGTGAGGATGGGAGAAGAAAATGGAAGAAAGGTAGAAAGGAAAGAATGAAGGACAATCAAAAGGAAAAAGAAGGAAGGAAGGAGGAAGGAATGGAAGAAAGAAGGAAGGAAGGAAGGGAGGAAGGAAGAATGGAAGAAAAAAGAAGAAAGGATTGAAGGAAGGAAGGAAGAAGGAGCCTAGTTTCAATGAAGGTTTAAAGACGATCTGGGTACTTAGGGTTCACACATCTACAAAGTTATGGAAACTTTTATTAAGACCAATAAAAATTTGCCCAGAAGAATAAGATGTAACACATGAAGGGTGCGGCATACGGGTCTGAAAGAGAAAAAATTGGGATTAGCAATGATTCTCTGAGTGTTGGAACAAAAAAATAGACCTTAAACCTCAGAATGACCCCTCCTGCCCTCATTCCCACACCCCGTTCCTGATACCGAACACTACAGCATGGTTTCCCTGAGCCCCGTTTATCTCCTGGATCTTCTGGGGCAGAGTCTTGGTCCAGAACTGCAGCCTACTGGCCTTCAGGTTTTGGGCCACAGTAGGCTGGGTGTTCAGCTGCAGGTACTGTTCATTTTGGTTCATCTTAGGCCAGTGGGGTAGACCCTCACTGTTGGGGTTCCTGTGGATGTGGCAGCCAGCAAAGAATAGTAAGGTTACAGTCATCCAAAGCCCAATCCTATATATTGGGTGAGGGCACTGTAAAGATTAGGACACTGGTTAAGGGTTCTGATGGGACAGGTGTCCTGATATGTGCATACAAGTGTCACTCATGAGTTTTTGCTTCATGTGAGGGAAACTATCTGACCTATTTTATGTCACCTCTAAGAGGCAAGATCTAAGGAACAGTACCATAGCTTTATAGTCCCACCAGCTGGATCACAGTGAGAGGACCAGTTGACACCTACAAAGAATCTGTATAAATGTGTTATTGTGTAGAAAAGACACTATCATGTGATGGAAGATTCATACATGCTAGAAATCCACCATACCAAGGAAGCCCTAGATAGGGACCCACATGTGTCAGGTTGAGGGAAGTGCTCTCACCGCTGTCGTGCAAAGTTGGCCCAGTACTTCATCATCCTCTTGTTCAGCAGCTTCTCTTCCTCAGTGAAGTAAGCTGGAGTCGTGAGAAAGACAAAGTGTATTCCACCTCATGCAACTGCCAAGTCATTCTTCACATGGGTCATTCCAGCTGTTTTCTGACCCCAAACTATTATCCTTTTTGCCTCCCTTCTTCATTATTCAGTATGCCGGATCCCCAATTCAATTCATGCCCTGATGTGATGTCAGCTCCTCCATCTCAGGCTAGACTAGAAAGGATGTAGATTCTAAGCTAAGCATTGTTTTGAGGTCATGATGTGGTACACATGTGAGTTTTTTCCCTCTCTCATAACCTAGGTTTTCTGAAAAGGACTGAAAGCTCAGGAGTCCCTACAGGAAGTCATCTGAGACCGCATTCAGTTCAAATAAAGAAATAAAGACTCATGTTTCATACCCCAGAGGTACCCAAAGACAAAAGCAATCTCATCTCCATGGTCAGCCTTCACGTCCTGTGCGTTGGGTTCCTTTATGTAGCTGGGTCGATGTTGGAATTCATAGAAGTAGACAGAGGCATGGGAACCTGGGGATGGGGACAAATAATGACTTAGTTGCCTCTCACCTGAAGTTTTTCTCATAAATATTTGGACAACAAGTTGCATCAATAAAAGTTACTCAGAATCATAGAAGTTAAATGGGAGAGGGGATCAAAGCTGGAGCAGCAGCAGTGGAAAAGTCTTTGGCTAATCAGTGCCCATGGCCTTCCCAGCTGAGTGGTTTTGTTAGATCAATAGAGTATCAGCAACCAATTTTCTCCTGTGTACTCAGATTTCACTCTCTTAAACTAGACGTGAGGAGACCTGGACACCACTGCACTCCACAGTGTTCACCCATGACTCCCATCTCTGAGATGCTGCCATAATACTTGACACAGTTATACTCACATTGAAATTGTGCTACTTGGAGAGCAGGCATCACAAACAGGTAGTCTGCTATCATCTCTTTATACTGTATTTTGAGGGTCTCTGGGTCCTGAGTGTCCCCCATGTACTCTTCCATTAGCAGGTCATCACTCTGAGGAGGCAGCTTCTACACCAGGAGATAAGGGACAATGAGGTTAGGCATAGTATTGGTTCAGTAGGCAACATTTGCTATCTGAGAGAATGTGGCCTGGAATGACATAGGGTATAGGTCTGAGGACAACACACAGAATCACAATATGTACTGATTGTATTAATAGAGATGCTGTCTGAGAAGGAGATATGAGGGACCCCTCTATTTGGAGAGGACTAAATATATCTCACCAGTTGTGATGTTGTAAAGTTCAGAAAAGCTGGCAGTTTCTGTCTGGTTATGTTCTCTATTCCCTGAAGATAGCCCAAGTACTAGGAGGCAGAAGACAATGGTAAGTGTGGTGTCTGATGAACTTGGATTAAAGATGTATTGAATTTCTATGGCTTAGCATTAATATGCTCTCCAGGCTCTCAGGTATTGGAACTGTGCCTCACCTTAGGAAGTTTGTAACCAAACTCATCATTGTTGACACCGATGATGCTGGGGACAGGGTGAAAATCCTCAGATGCCAACAACTCTTTGGGATGCCTGGGTAGGAACTTCCCATCCACCACAGCAGGGATATAAGTGAAGGTCTGAGTGGCATTAGAAGTCAAAGCTGATGGTTAGTGAAATAAATACCCTGATATTGACTGAGTCAGCTCTACTTTTTTCTCATTTCTCACTAGTTTCAGGGTGATCTACTCACCCTGGAGGAGAATCTACACTTAGATTAGCCTATCTTGATATTCATTTTGCACAAAGAACTGAAAGTACACAAGGCATAAAGATGATGTATTTGGTTCAGAATCCCACATCATGTAATTCAGGTTGTCCCAGACACACAAGTCTCCCAACCTTGGTAATAGCCAGCATCTCCTCTTCACTCTTGCCTCTCAGACAGCGCACCAGGGTCTCTGAGTCCATGGCTTCACATTCAGAGAGTGTGGCCACCTTCTGCAAAGGGAATGAGGCAAGACAAAGAGTTCTCAAACCAAGTTGAGATTCTGTTGTGCCTAATTCTGACACTATAGTGTTTGTTGTGTGGATTGGAATAAATACATATTGTTCCCATTGTACAATTGCTCTAATTGACAGCCAGCAGGCAGGACCTTTTCTACCTGCATACCTGTTGTTTTTGTTTAGAGTAGCTTTGTTTTCTCCACCTATTTTTCTGTGTTTCATGTATTGGGGTAAGTGTAATTGTCTAAAGGTTTGTATATGAAGGTTGGAAAACAAAATTTCAGTCTTTACTATCCCCCTTGTTTGACAGGGTGACTTCTTGTTTTCTTACTGCCTACACTAATGAGCTGGTTTATGAACATCCTAGGATTCTCATGTCTCTGCTTCCCACCTCATGAGAGTAACTTGAGAAGTATAGATACATGTTACTATTTGCAGCCTTTGTGTGTTATTGGGATTTGAACTTATGGCCTCAAGCTTGCACTCCAAGCCCTTTTAAAAACTAGTGAACCAGCTCCCAAGCACATGCATACTTATTTTTGCCAATGATAGATATTGCAAGGACTAGTTCATGGACAGAGAGAATACTCATTCTGTATGAAGTAAACGTTAGTAGATGCTAAGCCCTGAGTTTCTCAGAAATTATTGCAAACTGGTACAACCACTCTGGAAATCAATCTGGAGTTTCCTCAGAAAATTGGAAATAGATCTATCTGAAAACCCAGCTATACTACTCCTGGGCATATACCCAAATGATGCCCCATCATGCCCAAGGGGTTCATGCTCCACTATGTTCATAGCAGCCTAATCTGTGATAACCAGAAGCTAGAAATAACTCAGATGTTCCACAATAGAAGAATAGATTCAGAAAATGTGGTTTGTTTACACAATGGAATACTATACCCCTATTAAGAAGAAGGACATTATGAGTTTTGCAGGCAAATGGATGGAACTCGAAAATATAGTGCTGAGTGAGATATCTCAGAGTCAAAAGGACATGCATGGTATGTGCACACTAATAAGTGGATATTAGTCAAAAAAGTTCAGAATACCCAGAATACAATCCACAGAACTCAAAAGTGTTAAAAAGCCATAGGGCCCAAGTGAAAATGCTTTAACCCGACCAGGGAGGGAAAAGAATTCAGAGGGCAGAGTGAGGGAGGAAACTGGTTGAGGGAGGAGAGGGGAAAGGGCAGGGAAAATTGAACATGATCAGGTATTGAGAGGGGACCAGGAGTGAAGCCCCAAGGGCCAGCAGAATGAATGGAAATATTCAACTTCAGGTGGTAGGAGGTAGGGGGACCTTCTAGAATGTACCAGAGACCTGGGAGGTGAGAGACTCTCAGGACTCAAAGGGAGGGTCCTTAGATGAAATGTCCAACAGCAGGTAGAGGAAACTTGAAGAGTCTACCTCCAGTAGAAAAACAGGGCATCACGTGGAAGGATGGGGTTGCCTTCCCACAGTCAAAAACTCTTAGAATTGTCCCTGTCTAAAAGAACTGAAGGGACAGCCATGGAAAAGAGTGTGAGAGAAAGTAGGTCCAGTGACAGGCCCAAATTGGGACCCATCTTAAGTGGAGGAATGAGATGAGGAACTGTCAGAGGGCAGAACGGAAAGAGGATGATGACTGGACTATAAGAAATGGTTAAAGATAAAAAAACGAAAATAAAAAAAAATATTGGAAAGAAGTTATTTCCCATGGTCTTTGATTTCCTCCCCTGAACAAAACACCAGAGTACCAGAGTATAAAGGCTGAGGCTGTAGGGCTGAGAACACTTACAGTATAGTCTGTCTCAGAGGTGTTGGAGATAAGCAAACGCAGCAGGGCCACCCCACTCTCCATGATGGCTCCATGGAAGAGCCCTTGGGACATCGGGGACACAACATGTGAAGACACACTTGTGCCACCTGCAGACTGGCCAAAAATGGTGACCCGGTCAGGGTTGCCTCCGAAGTAGGCAATGTTCTGCTGGACCCAGCGCAGGGCGGCCACTTGGTCCAGGTATCCCCAGTTTCCTCTGGCGTGCTCATCTCCAGTGCTGAGAAGTGGATAGGACATGGATCAAAAGGCTATCTAGGTTCTGATCAGCTACTATTGCCCAGTAATAGCCTTACCTGAAAAAGCCCAGGACACCCAGACGATACTGGATAATGACAACCACCAAGTCCTCAGTGGCTGTCAACAGAGATCCATCATAAAAGGAAGCCGATCCTGTGACCAGTGCACCTCCATGGATCCACACCATCACCTGGAGAAGTCAAGAGAGAAGCCAGGAAGCTCCTAGCCTGTCCAAGCCCTCTTGTCTGCTTACTAGACTATCAACTCCTGTCCCTCTGTGCAGCTACACAAATACATAAAAATCCTCAGGACTCAGGGCCTTGGCCACAGCCAGGACCCTCTAGGATTCTCATTAGTGTATTTCTAGCCTCCATTCCCCCCAAGTGTCTTCAGTGTGAATTCCTGCCTCTATGTATAGAGTGATGTCATCATTGCTCAGGCTGTTCACAGCGGAACAGAGACGGGTGTCTCCATGGATACCTCTCCAGATTAAAAATGGAAAGGATCTTCAACTCTCATTGTCACAACAGATCATTCAAAAGTGTAAATTTGGGTGACATCAATGTTGAAATCTTGAGCCCCTAAGTGGTTCTGCAGAGAACAAGTCATAGAATGAGTTCTGGTTTTATCAAAGAGTGAATTCCTTTGATGGCTCAGTGCTCCAGCCCAAGCTTGATGCTCTTTGTCCCATACCCAGGCTTCAGTTGCTTTATGTGGCTCAGATGGCCTTTGACCCAAGTAAGCTAAGACTTTCATCAGGGTAAACTCTGCAATAGAACTGAGGTTGCTTTTGTCCCTTCTAATCATCTTGAAAAATAATGCCCTCTCCCCAAGCTGACCACAACCTGAGACTCACAGGCAGGTTAGAGCCCTCGTGGGCATGGATTGGTGTGTAGATGTTGAGATACAGGCAGTCCTCAGACATAGAGATGGAAGACAGGATCGTTTTCATATCTGGCAGGCCCAATTCACTCGGCATATCGTGATTTTGCAGACACCTGATGAAAATAGCAGACAGATATTCCAAGAGATGGATGATGATCAAAACCCAATGTGAGTCTGGAGATTTTCATCTCAGGCATGTTCAGCTGCTGCTCCTCACATATTCTCTCCTTAAGTCCCTTCTGACCAAGGGAAAGGCCACAGGCTCCATGAAAGCTGGGATGGAGCCAGACTTCTAGGGAGGCTGCCAGTCAGATGGATACTATTCTTTCTGAGTCTCAGAAAGAGAGAGAAACTAGTAAGTGTCTCCAGGGAAATGATTGGCTTTCTCTAATGACGTTCATAGAATTATATAAGAAACTCGAGTTAAGCATTAGCAGGCACACAAGCATTCTCTAGTCTCTGTTCCTGGGCATGGCTGTGATGTGAGCAGCTCCTGTAGTTTTGATTCACTGTGTTTACCCAAAGGATGGATTGTAATCTGGAGTCTCTAATAGTACCTTTCCCCCATAAGATGCTTTTGTTGATACTTTATTACAGCAGCAGAAAACAATCTAATATAGTAATATTTGGGTGTTGGACTTACACAGCTACTAGAGGATTCAGTAGACAATGCTGCCCTAAAGGGTAGTGGGTAGTCCTTCATCACATGCACAGACTCTCAGAGAACTTCTCTTGTCTGCAGTGTCTTCAGAGTGAATTAATTACACATATTTGTTCCATGGTTAATGGCACACGGCCTTATAGGTTTTCACAATGACTGTGAGGAGGGGATTAGCAAGAATTGATCACTGCTGTACTCAAGGACCTGAAGTGCATTCTCCTGGTTTCATGGTGCTTGGTTCCTAATATGTGACATTTAATCATGCCTAGAGATCCCCCCCATTGTGGTAGAGAACACTTTGCTTAATTGGAGTGTGTGAACAATTTTATCTTTGTTTCTCTCCATAGTACTTTCATGTTATTCCCTATGAGTGCCAAGCTTTGACCCAGGAGCCTGGTACAGCTGTTCTACTCAGTCTTGAAACATCACCAGAAAACACATGGGGCACTCATCTACAAATAGAGAAAACTGCCACATAGCTGAGATGGACAACACACTTCAACATGGCCTTGAACACAGAGACAGTCTTACATCAGTGCCTGAAACCCTCTGGGTCCAAAACTTACATGGCCGGGTGTGAGGTCCCATCCCTCACACCACTCCATGGTTCAGGGTCCTCAGGAGGTGCAAAGCGCAGTGGTCCTACAGGAGGCTTGGCAAAGGGAATTCCCAGGAAGATGTAGATATCTGTATTAGTGTCCACGTGTACAAGGCTGCCTCGGATCTGGCCAGTGTGTGTGTTTCTGATGGGGCTGGACTCTGATGAGTTTTGACCTGATGGAGAGATGCCATGTGGGTTAGTTTTCTGTAATCAACTGCCAGCAGATTGTGAGATTTCCACCTTATTTTTTACCATTGCACAGAAGAAGAGAACCCAACTGCAGCCCCTCCCGCCCTCAGTTCACCTGTGTATAGCTTGTGAGTGTGGGAGCTTCCTTATCCCTCCGGCTAGGAACCATTCAATATATGGGATTTCGCTATGATCATTACCTACAGTTTGAGAATGTCTGATCTATGGCTTCAATTAGTTCCCTCCCCGTCCCCCATGCTTTCCTTTCTACAAGCTCAGTTATTCTCTGACTCTGGTCATTCCCCCTTGCCAGTTTAGTGAGCCTCACCTTTCACATGGATAAGAAGCAGCAGCAGCCCCAAAACCACGGCATGCAGACAGCTGTGCAGTTGGTGCCCTGGCATGGTCAGCTCGCAGATCTGCCTCTGTGCTGCTAAGATGGCCACGTTTCCCAAACAAGAAGCAGACTGTGTGAGTTCTGTCCAGGCAGGAATTTAAATCAAAAGATGTAGGTGGGGACCCTGTGGTTGGTCAAAGTTCAAATTATAGGAGAAGTTATTAGTCGAAAGTGAGAGTAGCCAACGGCCAGGAGGCAGGGAAAGTCACCTCTACTGTTTCTGTTCCCTCTCTGGCCTACTAGAAAGGCACAGCATGAATTCTGGAGCTTATCTGGGAAACCAGGAATCCTGTCCCCTCACCTGGGCAGAAACCAAGAAAAGTCAGAGAGCTTCTGTGAGAAGGTCACAGTCTAGATGTCACAGGAAAATTGGATAAATGCAGGAGGTCTGAGTGTGACCTCATCCTCAAGACTCCCCTGACCTTTGAAGACTCAGTTTGTTGAGCTTTTTCCCAGGGTCCTTGGTCCCTGCAATTATCTTAGGATCTGCATGGTCCTTCTTCCTGTTAGGTCACATCTGTTCCAACAAAACACACTGAAATTCTGTAGGCTTTTAAAGTTGACAGTCCCTATTCACTCCACAGTAATGATGAGTCTCCTCTTAGTGGTCAGCTCCTGCCAACATCAACTTCACAGTCATTCATCCATTTAACAAATAATTTTAATTGTTTGCATTTGTCGTGCTCATGGATATGTGTGTGTGTGTGTGTGTGTGTGTGTGTGTGTGTGTGTGTGTGTGTGTGTGCTCCAGGGCCATGGCTCTCATGGGAAAGTGAAAGGAAAAGTTGTGCTAAGTCCATCTTCTCCTTCCACCCTGTTAATCTCAAGAAAGAACTTAGGTCATCAGAACTGGAGGAACATTCTCTTACCACACCCTAATCAATCTCATTCTTATCTATATGAGCAGTACTTAATGAGGTCTTAACTCCAACACTGGGGGTCAATCAATGATAAACCTGAGATACAAATCAATAAATAGAAGTTTCAGAATTGAAAAAAACCCTGAGACGGTATGTCCAAGAATGCAGGATCAGGAGCCCATATCCAATCCAGCCTGACTCTCTGGAGGGAGATTTGTGGGGATCAGTGTCAGACAGCCTTTAGTGAGAACTGACATTGATCCAAATTACGATTACCATCTATATTATCCCAATAATAATCCAGAGCCTGTAGTATGGCACCACAGAATTTCTTCATTGTGTCTCTCTGCTTCCCTGGCATAACATAGCACTGTTTTTCCTGGTTTCTCTAATCAACAGGTCCCCCTGATACAATTTCACCCCTCCAATGCACTCTTGATCTATCTGTGGTCCTAGTTTTTCTTGGTAGTTGTTCTCTCTACACCACATTCTCTGACCAAAGAATTGTTACACCATGAGGGTTGAGAAGTTCTGAGTTCCTTCAATCTCAGGATGAAGTAACCAATGGGTCCTGGGCTTCTACATGCTTATTAATCCAAGACAATTCTGTAGCTCAGCTCCAGAAATCCCTGTGTGCTCTGCTACTCGCTGCACTATCACTCCAAGGCCCCATGTTGATGATGGTCATGACCACAGTGAAAATGTAAAATGAAGAAGACACTCAGGTTCAGCTCTGTGGAAGGAAGGAGTGAATAGTGGGACCATGAGAGATAGATAGAGTAGTGTGTGTGTGTGTGTGTGTGTGTGTGTGTGTGAGAGAGAGAGAGAGAGAGAGAGAGAGAGAGAGAGACAGACAGACAGAGACAAAGAGAAAGACAGAGAGACAGAGACCTTTCTTTGCCTCTCAGGATACATACATCATGATCAAGGCCATCATGACATAACTGGCAGGCAGGCAGTGCCTGGATGGCAGTTGGTGCTACAATGTGGGTCATGGAGACACTAGGGTAATTCTGTGGTCTGGTAGACTCTTCAATATGTTGAGTCTACAGCTGCTCTTATACCAGGTACTCAAGTGCCTGTAAGTTTTCCTTAGTTAAGGACCATGGCTCTACCCACACCGGCTTATCTGTCAACTACTTTAGGGATGGAGTCATTGGTATTTCAAAAGTGCCCCTGTACCATAAATTTGAAACTCAATCCCTGAAATATCCTGTATTTAGACAATTGACACAGCATGGGATTGTTTTTGATGACAATATCAATACCATCCCCAGGATCATCTGACATCCCATCCATCATTTCATCATGAGCTGTCTCTGGAATTGCAGGAATATCAATTGGAATATCTCATCTTTTGTAAAAAATCCATTCCTCATAACTTCATGTGTCTATCAGCCACAAAACCACATATCAACACATGGTATACTTTGTTTTATTTGAGATAATTTTCTAATTCATATAAACTGTATACAAACTTTCTGAAATATCTTCATACAGGAGTTGGTGAGAAAATTGCTTTTGAAGTCTTTAATGTCTGAGAGGAGGTGGATAACTTTTTCTGACAGGCTTAGCTACAGCAGAAGGCTACTCTCCAAACCCAAGCCTTAGCAGCTGCCCTGAGGCTAACCCTATCTCTGCAGAGTGTACAGGGAGGTCTTGCATGTCCCATCCCACCCAGGACCAGCCTAAGTCAACTCCACTAAGGGCCTGTTTAAAATGTGGTCACAAAAGATATTGGTCTTACTGGTGTTTCAGCCTGTAGCAGCCCTCAAGCCGGGCCCTGCCAGCTAGAAGCCTGGCCATTGAAAGTAGGCATGCCACATGTAGGCTTGTCCTCTGTGCAATTTGGAGTTTATGGTCTTTAGGGAATTGCATTCTGAGTGGACGAAGGCAATAGGGCTTAGGGAAAGCAGGTTTTCAGTTCCCAATTTTAAATATAAGAAAATATGTCTCGCTAAGGGTAGAGACACAGGACTTTGACACAGTCACTCTCCTGCAGCCAACAGTCCCTGAAGCATCCACTTTATTTGAAGAAGGAATTGGAGAAGAGGAGAGTGAAAATGGGGAGAAGATAATGCAAGGAAGGGATGATAGAAGGAAGGAAGGAAGGAAGGAAGGAAGGAAGGAAGGAAGGAAGGGATAGAGGGAAGGAGGCAGGGATGGAGGAACAAGGAGCCTAGTCTCAGTTAAAAAAGATAGAAGTACTTTGAGGCTGACACATCCACACTGTTATTTGAGAATTTATTGGATTTAATGAAAATTTGCCCAGAATTATAAGGAATAGCATACAAAGTGTTTTTCATACATGAAATCTCAAAGACTGAGGTTACAAATGCTCATATAAATGTTGGAACAAATAAAAATAAATAAATGGACTTTGTAACACTATCAACTTTAAACCCCAAACACCTTTCCTGACACAGGGTACTAAAGCTCTGTGTGCTTGTCCTGAGACCCCTTTAGCCCCTGAATCTTCTGGGGCAGATTCTTGGTCCAGAACTGCAGCCTTCTGGCCTTCAGTGCTTTGCTCACAGTAGGCTGGGTGTTCAGCTGCAGGTACTGCTCATCTTGGTCCAACACAGGCCAGTGGGGTAGACCCTCGCTGTTGGGGTTGCTGTGAATATGACAGCCAGCAAAGAACAGTAAGGTTACACTCATCCAAATCCAAATCCTATGTTTTTGGTCAGGGCAGTGGAACAATTAGGACAGTGGTTTAGGGGTCTGATGGGTCAGGTGTCCCGATATGTGCATACAAGTGTCACTCATGAGTTTCTACGTCTCATGTGGAGGAGACTATCTGATCTGTTTTATGTCACCTCTAAGAGGCAAATCTAAGAAACAGTGCCAGAGCATTATAGCCCAACCAGCCGGGTCACTGTGAGAGGACCAGAATTTGACACCTACAAAGTATCTGTATAAATGTGCCATTGTGTAGAAAAGACTCTATCATGCATGCTAGAAAGCCGCCATCCAAAAGGGAGCCCTAGATAGGGACCCACACATGTAAGGTTCAGGGATGTGTTCTCACCCATGTCTTGCAAAGTTGGCCCAGTACTTCATCATTCTCCTGCTCAGCAGCTTTTCCTCCTCAGTAAAGTCACCTCGAGTCATCAGAAAGACAAAGTGTATGCCACCCCATGCAACTGCCAACTCATTCTTCAATGCATCATCCCTGCTGCTGTCAAACCTCAAACTATTGACTTTGTTTCCCTGCTTCTTCATTACCCCGAATCCAATATGCATGCAAGTTTCTAGTTGACTTCCTGCCCTCATGTGTCCTCAACTCCTCCATCAGTGGCTAGATTGGAAAGATTGTATATTCCAAAGTGGGCATGGTTTTTGTGATATAATATGGCATACATTTAACTGTCTCCACTTCCAGATCCTAGGTTTCCTCAAATAGACTGAGAGCTCAGGAGTGCCCCAGGATATCATTTGGGACCTCATTTAGTTTAACAAAAGAAAGGAATACTTACATTTCATTTCCCAGAAGAAGTACCCAAAGACAAAAGGAACCTCGTCTCCATGGTCAGCCTTCACGTGGGGTGGTCTAATATCCTTGAGAGAGGTGATCTGATGTTGGAACTCATAGAGGTAAACAGGAGTATGGGAACCTGGAGGTGGGACAAAGAGTGACAACATAGTGGTCCTTCACCTGAAATTTCTTCTGATACATATTTGGTGATTAGGTACCTTGATAAAAAGTTATTAGGAATCACAAAAGTTAAAAGGGGGAAGGAGACCCCTGCTGGAGAACTAGGTATGGAAAAGCCCTGACTACTCAGTGCCCATGGCCTTTCCAGCTGAGTGGTTTTGTTAGGTCAATAGAGTATCAGCAACCCATTTTCTCCTCTGTACCCAGATTTCACTCTCTTAAATTACACATGAGGAAACTTGGACACCACACCACTCCACAGTGCTCATCCATGACCAAAGTCTCCACGAAGCCTTGTCAAAGATGTACTCACGCTGAAAATGTGCTACTTGGAGTGCAGGGATCACAAACATGAAGTCTTCCATCATCTCTGTGAACTGTGCTTGGAGGGTCTGGGCATCCTCAGTGTCCCCCATGTACTCTTCCATTAGCAGGTCACTACATTCAGGAGGCAGCATCTACACCAAGGAGATCAGGAACGTTGAAGTTGGCATATTTTAGTTTAGGTAGGCAGTAGCCTAAAGTATTGGGTGAAGGACCTGGGATGATATAGAGTATAGATAAAAAGGTTCATGATCTGAGGTAACCTCATCTCAAATCATACATATATACTGATTTTTATTAGTAGGGATGCTGTCAGAGAAGATATAAAGGATCTATTAGGACAGAATGAGAAATATCTCACCATTTGTGCTGTAGTATTCTTCAGAACAGCCTGCAGATTCTCCCTGGTTATTTCCTTTATTGTTGAGCCCATGACCTGGGAGACAGTAGTAAGTGTAGGGTCTGATGAACTTGGATTAAAGATGTATTGAGTTTCCATCAATACATCTGCTTAGTATATGAGTCTCTAGGCTCCCAGATGATTGGAATTGTGACTCACCATAGGAATGACCCAGCCAAACTCATTATTGTTGACACCAATGATGCTGGGCACACGGTGAAAATTCTCAGATGCCAACAATTCTTTGGGATGCCTGGGTAGGAACTCCCCATCCACCACAGCAGGGATCATCTGGATGACCTGAGTGGCATTAGAGGTCAAAACTGAAGGTTAGTGAAATAAATACCCTGATGTTGACTGAGTCAGCTCCAACTTTTTCTCATTTGTCACTAGTTTCAGGGTGATCTGCTCACCCTGGAGGAGAATCTACACTTAGATTAGCCTATCTTGATATTCATTTTGCACACAGAACTGAAAGAACACAAAGTCATAAGGATGGGGTATTTGATTCAAAATCCCATATCATGAAAACCAGGTTGTCCCCAGACACACAAATCTCCCTACCTTGTTAATAGCCAGAATCTCTGCTTCACTCTTGCCTCTCAGACAGTGCACCAGGGTCTCTGAGTCCATGACTTCACATCCAGAGAGCTTGGCCACCGTCTGCAAAGGGAACAAGCATGGAGAATTGTTCTCAATTTCAAGTCAATGATTTTGCATCTAATTCCCACACTGTAATGTGTGTTGTGTGGATTGGAATAAACTCATATTGTTCCCATTGTTCTATTGCTCAAAGGTGAAAGCTGGCAAGCAGGACCCTTCCTATCTGCATACCTGTTCCTTTTGTTCAGGGTAGTTTTGTTTTCTCTTCCTATCTTTTTCTGTTTAATAGATGATGGAAACTATAATCATTTATGGTTTGTATATTAAAGTTAGAGGAAAAAGTGTAAGCCTTTATTGCCCCCCTTATTTGACAAAGTGGGTTTCTTTTTTCTTCCTAGAACCTGGTCTGATCTGTGAACATTCAGGAATTCTCTTGTCTTTGTCTCCCACCTGACCAGAATAACATGAGAGTTATAGATGCATGTTACTCTCTCCAGCCCTTTGTGTGCTCTCAGGATTTGAGCTTATGTCCTTAGGCTTGCACTCCAAGCACTTTTCAGAACCAATGAACCAGTTCCCCAGCACATTTATACTTATTTTTTTACCAGTGATAGAAGCTGTAAGGAGCAGTTTGCTTCTGTGATAACATACTTTTCCAGTATGAAGTAAAGGTGAGTACATGGTAACCACCATGTTTCTCAGAACTTTTTTTAAAGTAGTGACGTTTTCCATGGCCCTTGCTTTTGCCATGGACATAACACCAGAGTACCAGAATATATAGGCAGAGGCAGAAGGGCTGAAAACACTTACAGTAGAGAACATCTCAGAGGTGTCAGCGATAAGGTAAGGCAGCAGGGCCACGCCACTTTCCATGATGGCTCCACGGAAGAGTCCTTGGGACATGGGGGACACAACATGTGTAGACACACTTGTGCCACCTGCAGATTCGCCAAAAATAGTGACCCGGTCAGGGTTGCCTCCAAAGTGGACGATACTCTGCCTGATCCAGTGTAGGGCAGCCACTTGGTCCAGGTATCCCCAGTTGCCTCTGGCATGCTGGTCTCCAGTGCTGAGAAGTGGAAGGCACATGGATCAAAAGACTATCTAGGTTCTGATCAACTACCATTACCCAGTCATGGCCTTACCTGAAAAAGCCCAGGACACCCAGACGATATTGGATAGTAACTACCACCAAGTCCTCAATGGCTGCCAATAGGGATCCATCATACATGGAAGCCATACCTGCAGCTAGTCCACCACCATGGATCCACACCATCACCTGGAGAAGTCAAAAGAAACAGTAAGCTCCTAGCCTGTCCAAGATCACTGATCTGCTTGTTAGACTATCTAATGCTGTGCCTCTGTGCAGCTACAAACATATGCAAAAATTCTCAGGATTTCAGGGCTTTGGCCACTACCAGGGACATTTAATAGCTGCTCAGTATTCTTCTATTTCCAATCCTGACTATATATTGTACTTTGAATTCCTGCCTCGATGTATAGAGTGATGTCATCGTTACTCAGGCTCTTCACAGTGGAATAAAGATGGGTGTCTCCATGGATACCTCTCCAGATTAGAAATGGAAAGGATCATCAACCCTCATTGTCACAACAGATAACCCAAAAGTCTAAGTTTGGGTGCCCTCAGTGTTGAGGTCTTGAGCCCCTAAGTTGTTCTGCAGAGAACAAGTTGTAGAATGAGTTCTGGTTTCATGAAAGAGCTGAAGCCTTTAATGACTTGGTGCTCCAGTACTCTGTGTCCCATACCCAGGTGTCAGCTCCACTGTGTGGTTGAGATGGCATTTGACCCAAGTGAGGTAAGACTTTCATCAGGGTCCACCCTGCAATGGAACTCAGGTTGCTTTTGTCCCTTCTAATCTTCTTGAAAAAAATGCCCTCTCCCCAAGCTGATAATGGCTTGACACTCACAGGCAGGTTTGAGCCCTCATGGGCATGGGCTGGTGTGTAGATGTTGAGATACAGACAGTCCTCAGACATAGAAACAGGGGGAAGCTTCAGTTTCATCTCCTTCAGGCCCTCCACATTAAATACATCAAGATTTTGCAGACACCTGGTTAAAAGAGCAATCAAATATTCCACTAGATGTGTGATGCTCAAAACAAAATGTGAGTCTGGATTTTTTTGGCCACAGTCAGCTGCTCCCTGTGAAAGCTTGGTGGAGCCAGATTTTTAGAAAGGCCTTCTGTAGATTAGGACTTCTGTGTCTTTATTTCTGAGACTAGGACAGCGAATCTAGTGAGTGTCTCCATGGAAATGATTGGTTGTCTGTAGTGATATTCATGGAATTATATAAGAAAATCAAGCTAAGCATTAGCATCTGAATGCATGCACGCACTCTCTAGTCTCTGTTCCTGGGCATGGCTGTGATGTGAGCAGCTCCTGTAGTTTTGATTCACTGTGTTTACCCAAAGGATCCATTTTAATCTGGAGCCTCTAATAGTAGCTTTCTCCCCTAAGATGCTTTCATCAGTACTTTATTACAGCAGCAGAAAACAATCTAAGATAGTAATATTTGGGTGTTAGACTTACACAGCTACTAGAAGATTCAATGGACAATTGCTGCCATAAAGGATAGTGAGTAGTCCTTCATCCCATGCGAGGCTCTAAGGGAACTTCTCTTGCCTGCAGTGTCTCCACAGGGAAATAATTACATATAATTGTTCCCTGCTCAATGGCACATGGCCCTATAGGTTGTCACAGTGACCATGAGGGTGGGGTTAGCAAGTATCGATCACTGTTGAACTCCTCAGTGTTCTGAAGTATATTCTGAAGTCAGAAGCACTGATGCCTAATAGGTGACACTTACTCACGCCTGGGGATACTTCCCATTGTCACAGAGAACACTGAGCTTAATCTGAACCTGTGAACACTTTATCTTTGTTCCCCTCCATAATAGCTACATGTAACTTCCTGAGTGCCAAGGTCTGATCCAGGAGCCTGGCACAGTTATTCTATTCAATGTTAGGACATCATCAGAAAAATGTGCGAGGCACTCATCCACAAAGAGAGAAAGCTTCAGTGTAGCTGAGATGGACAAAACACTTCATTATGGCCCAGAGCTCAGAGCATAGTCTCCCCCAATGCCTGAAGCCCTCTGGGTCCAGAACTTACATGGCTGGATATACAGTCCCATCTCTTACACCACTCCATGGCTCAGGGTCCTCAGGAGGTGCAAATCGCAGTGGTCCTACAGGAGGCTTGGCAAAGGGAATTCCCAGGAAGGTGTGGACACCAGCTTTCGTGTCCTTCACGTCGATGAGGCTACCTCGGACCTGGCCGGTATGTGTGTTTCTGATGGGGCTGGCCTCTGGTGAGTCCTGACCTGGTGGAGAGATGCCTCAGGGCTAGTTTTGTGTAATCTGCCCCAAGGAGACTATAAGATTCCCATCCAGTTGTTACTAGGGCACAGAGAAAGGAAACCCAATCCTCCGATCTCAGTTCAGTTTTAGGGTTTAAGTATTGGAACTTCCCTGTTTCTCAGGGACAGGAGCCTTTGCTGTTTCATTTCCCATGTATTTCTCACCATTTCTCTGGTCAAAGAGGTCACACACTCAGAGCCATTTTGCCACTTGAATTTATGATTATTCTCATTCTTATCCAAATGTCAGCAGGAGTTACAGTCATAGCCATACTCAGAGGAAGGAAACATACCTTCTTACTTTTCCTAAATTTTCTACTGCTTTCACCAAAGCTCCTTACACTGAGCTGTCTCCTCAGTATGGAGTGAATTTAGATGTCTCTAACCCTCTAGGTGCTAGTGGGTCCACAAAACTGTGTGCTTTCTGTCTGGGAGTTGGTAGGCACATTTCACATACTTTTATCTATTGCACCAGTCCTCAACCTGTGGGTCACAACCATTGAAAAACACACATTTCTGATGCTCTTAGGAGCTGAGAAACCACTCAAGAGCAACATTAAGTTAGGAAGTAGCAATAACAATAATCTTATGGTTGGATGCTTCTGATACCATTTAATTTGTGGATTTTTTCATATGGTTGTGACCTACAGTTTGAGAATGTCTGACCTATAGTTTCAATCAGTTTCCTCCCCGCCCCCAGGCCTCCCCTCCCACAAGCTCAGCTCTGATGCACAGAACTTGGCAGCTCTGACTCCAATCATTTCCCATTGTCAGTTTAGTGAGCCTCACCCTGAACATGGATAAGAAGAAGCAGGAGCCCAAAGAGCCCAGCATTCAGCCAGCTATGCAGTTGGTTCCGTGGCATGATCTGCCCTCAGGTCTTCCTTTGTGCTGCTAGAAAGATCACGTTTCATAAACAGGAAACAGAATCTGTGAACTTTGCCCAGTCAGGAATTTACCAAAAAGGATGTAGGCGGGGATCTTGTTGTGGTCGGTCAAAGTTCTCATTGTAGGAGAAGTGATTAGTCACAAGTGACAGGAGCCAATGACCAGGAGGCAGGAAAAGTCACCTCTGTTGTTTCTGTTCCCTCTCTGGCCTCCTAGAAAGGTGCAGCATGAATTCTGGAACTTGTCTGGGAAACCAGGAACACCTGGGCAGAAAGCTGTAACAGGAGAAGTCAGAAAGCTTCTGTGAGAAGATCACAGTCAAGGTGTCACAGGAGAATCAGGCAAGTTCAGGAGGTCTGAGTGTGACCTCATCCTCAAAACTCCCTCCCCTGGCCTTTGAAGACTCAGTTTATTGAGCCTGCTTCTAGGGTCCTTGGTCCCTGCAATTATCTTAGGATCTGCATGGACCCCCCTCTCCCTGTTAGGTCACATCTGTTTCAACAAAACACACTGAAATTTTGGAGCTTTTAACGTCTATAGTCCTTATTCACTCCACAATAATGATGAGTCTCCTCCAGTGGCCAGCTCCTGCCAACATCAACTTCATAGCTATTCATATATTTAACAAATAATTTTAATTGTTTACATCTATTGTGCTCATGGATACACCTGTGTGCGGATGCTCCCGGGCTCTGGTTTACGTATGAAGGCAAGAGGAGAACTTGTGTTAAGCGCATCTTCTCCTTCCACTGGTAAATCTCCAGGTGAAACATAGATCATCAAAATTGGAGGAAAGTTCTCTTACCACACCCTGATTACTCTCACTTTTCATCACATGACCAGTATTTCATGGGGCCTTAATATCTCCAACATTATGGTCAATCTATGACAACTCTGAGTATCAAATATAAAAATTGAAGTTTCAGAATTGCAAAGATCCCAGAGAAGATATATCACAGAATGAAAGATCAGGAGCCCATTCCCAGTCCAGCCTGACGCTCTGTTGGAAGTTTGTGGAGATCATTGTCAGACAGCCTTTAGTGCCCATGAGAAGTGACCTTGGTTTCAAATTATGATTACCATCTTTATTATGCAAATAATAATTCAGAGCCTGCAGTATGGTACTACAGAACTTCTTCCTCGTGTCTCTCTGTCTGCTTCCCTGGCATACAGCATGGTTTTTCTGACTCCTCCAATTTCACCCCTCCAGTGTACTCTTGTCCTGTCTGTGGTCCTAGCCTCTCTTGGTAGCTGTTCTCTCTACACCAAGTTCCCTGACCAAAGAATTGCTGCACCCTGAGGGCTGAGAAGTTCCCAGTTTGTCTAATCTCGGGATGAAGTAACCAGATCCCAATGGGTGCTGGGCATCCCTGTGCTTCTTAATCCCAGACATTTCTGTAGCTCAGCTCCAGAAATCCCTGTGTGCTCTGCTACTCACTGCACCATCACTCAGAGGCCCCATGTTGATGATGGCCATGGCCACAGTGAAAATGTGTTAGGCAGAGATGCAAAAGACAGGAGAAAGTAGAGGCTCAATTCCACTAAAATAAACCTGGAATTCCTCCTTATGCAAATGAGGCATCCTAAGTGTGTTGGCCCCAGCCAATGACGTACACTCACAGTCAATGTTCTCTACTTACTCCCACAGTGGTTTAAGTAGCCTTTGTTCCCTCTGTTAAACTTGCTGTCTCATTGAAGTTGTCTTCACTGAGAGTGTGTTCTAGTCGCATTCACAGCTGCCTGAGGTCTTTTCTGCTCTTGGCTGTTCCTACCTGGCTTCCCCTCACAGGATCCATATTTGTTGATGGCAGCTAGCACACCGTGATGGACAGAAAGGTGGAGCCTAATAGCACCTGGCTACACTATGTGGGGCATGAAGACCACAAGTATGCACAGGAGGAGGAAGGTGAGCTATCCCACCCAGGATACATTGATACCCTCCCCCGTCCCCACACATACTCGTCTTGCCTCCTGTGACAAGGGCTTACAGTCTTTTTTCTTTCTTTCTCTTACTTTTGGTTTGCATCATATTGAGGGACTGGGTACATTGATTAGGGCAACTGACACCTTCTGACTACAGACACTCCTTGGTATTGGTACAATCCCCCCAGCCCTCTTCCCAGACCCATCATCCCACTTGGATGTTGACCATAAACCTTTATATTTTTCTCCTTTTGAAAAAACCCAGTAATGCAATGACCAGTTAAAATCCCTTAGGGTAGTCAGCAGATTCTTAGAAATCTGCAGGTAGGCTTATGTGTAGGATTTTGGGGACTCCCCTGTGGAGCTACGTGCCCCACCAAAAACATTCACCTCTGGTCTTGGCATTTCCAAACCATTTCTATCATGGGAAATACATCATCACATTAAAAGGAGAACCCAATAAGAGGGCCAAGCATCCTTCTCAGGACTCATGGAATGAAACTTACTCAAAAGGAAGCCAATTCCTTTAGGGAAGGGGTCCGTGAGGCGGTCCCCTTGATGGTGGTAGGTGATCCTTATGAATCTGGTACAATGGACTTGGATCATTTATCTCACCCAACGCCCCCTTCTCCTCCATTTTCTGCCCATTATAGTTGCTGTCTACCAATGTGTGGTTCCCTTCAAGCTGGGGCCCCCCAAAGGTGCTTCACCATCCCTGTAAGATGGTTCTGATGATGAATGTCCTGAAGACCATCCCACACAGATCTTGAAGCATTAAAAAAGGCCATAGTGGAGATTCCCAAAACAATTGCTTCCTCAGTCATGGGATCATATTGTTGTCCCACCCAGTTCACCTTAATCCCTCCCTACAGCATTCCACTCCTCCTTCTGCCCCTCCTCCCACCTCTTAGCAGCTCATCCACCTCCGAGTCTTTGCTGTGAGTCCAGAGATCCAGGCAATCCTGGTTAATGTCCACATCACCCAGACTAAGCCTCCAAGTTAGTATCTTTATCAGGCTGGTGACCTAAAAGAGCTCAGGCAGGAAATCAAATGGTGACGAGGGCATGCATGCCCCTTGGACTAAATCCCCCCTCCAAAGTCAAATCTTTAAACATGCCCCAGGATTGGCGAGATGTCTGTCATTCCTCTTTAGGCATCCTGCATTTTCTATAAATGGATATCCCTCTTGGACCTACACTCATTGGTCCAATGGTATCCCTTGCCACAATGCCTGCACACCCCAGGAAGCCTAGGCATTCTTTCTTATTTTTTAAATTTATTAGTTATTTTATTTATTTACATTCTAAATGCTGCCCCTCTTCCCGCCCCCCTCACAGAGTTCTTTTCCCCATCTCCCTTCCCCTCTGACAGAGTGCCTCCCACCCTTCCATTCAAGTCTCTACAGGATTAGGCTTATTCTCTCCCACTGATGCCAGACAAGGCAGCCCTCTGCTACATATGTGGCAGGGACCTCAGACCAGCCCGTGTATGCTCTTTGGTTGGTGACTCAGATTCTGGGAGCTGCCAGGGGTCCAGGGTAGTTGACACTTGGTCTTCCTTTGGGGTTGCCATCCCCTTCTATTGCTTCCATCTTTCCCCTAACTCTTTCATAGGAGTCCCCAACCTCCATCTAATGAGTGGCTATGGGTATCTGCCTCTGTCTCTGTCAGTTGCTGGGTAGAACCTTTCAGAGTACAGCCATGCTAGGCTGCTGTTTGCAAGCACAACATAGCATCAATAATAGTGTTAGGGATTTGTGCCTGCCCGTGGGATGGATTCTAGGGTGGGCCAGTCACTAGTCAGTTATCCCTTCAGTCTCTGCTTCATTTTTTCCCTGCATTTTATTAGACAGGAACAATTTTTGGTCAACAGTTTTATAGGTGAGTTAGTGTCCCCATCCCTCCACTGGGAGTACTGTCTGGCTACTCTAGGTGGTCTCTTCAGGTTCCATATCCACACTGTTGGGTATTTCAAGTGTTTGAATTTTTTGGAAGAGGATTACTTTCTTGCTCTTTCTAGGGTATAATTTCCCTCCTTGTCTTGGAGCTTTCCCACTATTGTCCTTTGTAATGCTGGGTTTGTGGAAAGATATTGTGTAAATTTGGATTTGTCATGGAACATCTTGGTTTCTCCATCTATGGTAATTGAGAGTTTTGCTGGATATAGTAGCCTGGGCTGGCATTTGTGTTCTCTTAGGGTCTGTATGATATCTGTCCAGGATGTTCTCGCTTTTATAGTATCTGTTGAGAAGTTTGGTGTAATTCTTATAGGTCTACCTTTATATGTTACTTGGCCTTTTTCCTTTACTGGATTTAATATTCTTTCTTTGTTTTGTGCATTTGGTATTTTGATTATTATGTGACAGGAGATATTTCTTTTCTGGTGTAGTCTATTTGGCATTCTGTTGGCTTCTTGTATGTTCATGGGCATCTCATTCTTTAGGTTACGAAGTTTTCTTCTATAATTTTGTTGAAGATATTTATTGGCCCTTTAAGTTGGGAATCTTCACTCTCATCTATACCTATTATCCTTAGGTTTCATCTTCTCATTGTGTCCTAGATTTCCTGGATGTTTTGTGTTAAGAACTTTTTACATTTTGTGTTTTCTTTGACAGTTGTGTCAATATTTTCTATGGTATCTTCTGCACCTGAGATTCTCTCTTCTATCTCTTGTATTCTGTTTGGTGATGCTTGCATCTATGACTCCTGATTTTTTTCCTAGGCTTTCTATCTCCAGGATAGTCTCCCTTTGTGATTTCTTTATTGTTTCTACTTCCATTTCTATGTCCTGGATGGTTTTGCTCAATTCCTTCACCTGTTTGGTTGTTTTCTCTTGTAGTTCTTTAAGGGATTTTTGTGTTTCCTCTTTAAGGGCTTCTATCTGTTTACTTGTGTTCTCAAATTCTTTGAGAGTGTTATTTACATCCTTCTTAAAATCCTCTATTATCATCATTAAAAGTGATTTTAAATCTGAATCTTGCTTTCCTGGTGATATGGCAAATTCAGGACTTTCTAGTGTGGGAGAACTAGGTTCTAATGATGCCAAGTAACCTGGGTTGCTGATGCTTATGTTCTTGTGCTTGCCTTTCACCATCTGGATCTCCTTAGTGCTACCTGCCCTGCCTCTGACTGGAGCCTGTTTTTCCTATTATCTTGGTTGTTTCAGAACTGTGTGGGGTGGGTGTTACTACTGGGGTTAGAGCTGGGGCTCAAGATCTACTCAGTGCTCGAGTACAGACAGGAAGGAACCAGTGCTCCAAGCCAGGAGTGAATTTCTGGGTCCCAGTGGGTCCTAGTTACTCCCTGTTTGGGGTGGGTGTTGCTGTCTCCTTACCTAAGATACTACCCAGGTTAGAGCTCCTAGGAGGCCCACTTCCTCTGGGATTTGTGAGATTGGCTGCAGAGCTGTCACCTGGGATCTGCTCAGTGCTCAGGCCCAGACTGGAAGGAACCAGTGCTCCGTGCCAGGAGTATGTGTGCACATTTATCCCTTTTTTGCATCTGGTTATTTTTATTAAGCAGAGCTGGCATTTTTGGGAGCGTGGGGGGAGGTGACTAATGAGTTCATCAGGGTATGGAGTATGAGCAAGAGGTTGTGACAAAAGCTATACAGGGAAGGCTATGGCAAGCAAGTGAGTTACTTGGAGTTAGCCTACCCTTTTGCATGGGTGTGTGCTGAGATGCATGGACCCCAGAGACTTCATCCCAGGATTGTTTCTCACTGCTGATAGGCCTTTCCTGCCACTAATATAGGGCCTAATGAATCCTGGGCATCAGCTCATCTTATTGGGCACATTTCCTTCAGATCAATACGAAGATGTACTTTCATATAATAATACTGTTTAGATGAAAGGATGATGTCATAATTCCTGACAGTGATTTCATAGAACTCCTGAATTGATACAAGTAGGTTTAAGCCCCCTCTAGAATAAAAGGCTACAAATAGAATTCTATGTCATGAGCTAATTGCACTAGGAGAAGATAGGCTTGAAACACATATACAATCAAGGACAACATTCCTTTTAGATTAGGAATGAGGTCATCAATGTAGGCCATAAAGGTTGTAAACTGGGAATGGGCAATTTATTGTAGGTGCCAGGACAGAAAATAAATGATTGACTAGTTTATTTATACAAGACTTAAAAATAATAAGATACAAGGCAGATTATTTGTCTCTTGACAAAACCTTGGTAACTTGTGACATAAAACTATTGCTTTAAACTTATAATTAACTCGTGGAGCTAGAAAATAGATAAGGAATGTTTAGTCAGATATTAGTCTTAATGGAAAGGCTTACAAACAATTCTGCTGTTACTCTTTAAACCTTAACCTTATGACATGAACTATTGCTTTCAACTTATCATGAACTTATGAAATGTAAAAGTGTTTAGAAACCATGTGATCAATTATCCCACTATAATAGTTCTACTGGATAATTACTATGAGGTAATTTTTATCTGAGAAGGTATAAAAACTAAGAACAAAACGAAACTGGTAGTGCACCCCTTTTCTGCTTCATCCAGTGTGTGTGTGTGTGTGTGTGTGTGTGTGTGTGTGTGTATGTGCCTCACTTTCTTTCTTTTTCTTTCTCTCTGGCTCATGAAGAGTGAACAAACTCCAAGTCTCTAGCTTGGCCAACAGTGGCTTCTGAGTAAAAGAGCATAGAGTCCAAATAACTAAGTTTCCTTTCTTAATTCCCTGGTGCTATCAACAGGAGTTAATTGCCAGAAGCCATCAACTCTAGCCTTTAAAATAGTAAAAGAGCATCAACTGCCAGAACCCATCAACTTCTGGTCCGAACTTAGTACCTGAAGGTCTCTAAGCAGGACCTTGATAAGATTGCTTCCAAGAGCAAGGATAACTCAAAGATCACCCCAGGCTGAGTGATGGCTCAAGATAGCTACATCCCTAGAGATCTATGTGAGGTTTTCATGAAGGTCAAGAGATCCAAGAGTCTCTTCTCCCTACCAGTCTACTTCTTTCAGAGTTAGCATTTTAAAGGAGAGATGTTGCTATGTTTTTAGAACAGGGGTTTAAGAGAGTTAACCCATAAAAGGACAAGACACACTCAAGCATGTGTGTTGGTGTCTCAAGAGAGTCTCCCTGTTAACATAGCCACATATCTCATTTTGGAGGCTCTGAAGTTACATCTCAAAGGGTTGGAAAGAAACCTCCCTTTTCTTTGTTGGTGAATGAGATCATGGGTGGTTGCTAATGTGCACTGGGTAGAATTCTACCAGGGATGTGTTACAGTAAAGAAGGTCCATTGTTTTTTTTATGAGAATCCCAGACCTTGTAGTATTACACCTGGTAGAGGAGCAAATCAGAGTACGCTTTGGCCTGCAGCAGGAAGCGCACTCTCTTAATATTCTCTTTTTTGGAAATACCTCCTCTGCAAAAGCAATGTGGTCTCGATGTACATAATCTTCACAGTCAACATCATTTATAGTGTTAGAGTTCTTTTTATGATTTTCATCAGTATATGCTACTGATACATAATAATGGGTTTCATTGTGACATTTTTGTACATGTAAATGAGGTATTTGTTCATAGTAATTCCCCTATAACTTTCACTTGTCCCTGCCTCCTTTCTGCCCTAGGCCTTCTTCTACTTTATTGTCTCCTTAATTTTTGTTGATCAGCCAATATATTCAGTTACAGTAACTAATTGGGTGAGGTCTTATTTACAGGAGAATGGGCAATTTACCGGTAGATGTATCACTGAAGAAAACGTCTCTTTCTTACTCAGTGTTCATTATCCACCTAGAAATCTGAAGGGATGATGTCTCTTGAGCCTACGAGCCCTAGCACATCCTATATATCCTCAGGTCTGTGCTGTGTGAATGGATTTTTGACTGACATCATTTGGAGAATCTCTTATTTACTTTGCCCCATCAAGAGTGCTTGACTGACAGGCATGTGGAGCCAGACCTTGCCTGTACTTATCTTTTTACGGAATCCTGGGATTGTGTGGAAGACACTGTCACCTTGACATCCCTGTGGATAAGCCAGTTCTGGGTGCCATAGAAGAGGGTGTGATACAACTCTGTGCCTTATTATAATTGTCTGTGGTTCAGAACCCAGGTATCTGAACCAAGAATGTTCAGAAGAACATCCATGCATGACTGGGTAGATTTTCTTGCCTATAAGGCCAAGTGACCTCTTAGAGTCTGGGAAACAGCAGGCAAGGGCCACAGGCTGAGGGAAGTATGGCTTCCTCTAAGTGGGTCAGACTGGAGAACAGGGTAGGAATTTGCCAGGGTTCTCAGTAGAATGTTTGGGTATAAGAGGCATCAAGGTGTGTGCACATACATGCTGCCCCAGTACTCTGATGGCTCAGCTTCTGATAAGGGGCAGAGCAGGACCACATGGTCTTTGCCCTAGAAACCAAACTGTACCTTTGCCCAAGGCGAGATAAATTGGGAAGGGAACCTCTGTCTCTCATTTCAGCTGTGGGGTATGAGGCTAGAAAGTTCTAGATGTTCAGAGCCAGGAAACTTTCTAGAGTGTTTTTGGGGCATCTAGGTAAATCTCTGACCAGGGGATTGAATAATCAGAGCACAAGGATACTGGGATGGTATTAACAGTTTCGTTGTTATACAAGGGTCCTCAGCATCAGCAACCACAGTCTAGCCATAGGCACACACAGAGGGAAATGTCCCATCTGCCCCTCTGTTCCTGATCATCTGCTTGGTCCTTCTGAACTCCAGGCCCAGTACTCATCACAATCTCTCACACTGTTCTTGCTGGATCCTCAGTGTTGAGTGTCCTCAGGCATCAATGACCCTGTGTGTGCTACAGGGGACATCCTGTGGGTTTTAGTGGAGGTGTTTTTCCCTCACTGCTGTCTGTCATCCCTGTAAGTTCCTCCCTCCCTGATCCATTACCACCGGTGCTCTCTCAATCTCTGAGTCTGCAGTAGTTGGCAGCTCTGACCTCTTTCCCATCTGCCTCTTTCAGAGTCTCACACTGAACACACCCACAGGAGGAGATGTTAAGTGCATAGGCCAGAGCCGTCAAGAAGCCAGCACAGTGATCCAGGGCCATGATCAATTCCTGGGCATGAGTGCGGGCTGCTATGGGATGCACGGTTTCCAAACAGGAAGTGGTTATGGGCCTGCCAGGTAGGAAATTGTACCCAACATGGTACAGATGGGAGCTCCATGGTTCAGTGCAGGGCATTGTGGGTATTATTGCAGGAGAACTGAATGGCCAGGCAAAGGTAAAGAAACCAGTGCTTATCAGGCTGGCAAGGCCACCTCACCTGTTTTGCTTTTCATTGTGCACGCCCCACCCCCACCAGCTTCAGAAGGCATAGCATGGACTCTGAAGTCATTCCAAATGCCAGTAACCCTTGCCCCAAACCTCACCCCAAACCATGGTGACTTCTTGTCACAGATCCAGCATGGGTAAAAGTATGGAAGCAGGAAACTGAAGATTCTTTTTCTGCAGTGGAGATTTTGGTGTGTGCTGAGGATCCCACGGATGGAGAAAACACAAATGGAGAAGGAGGTGGACAGGTGAAAAGTACACCCTGGGGATTAGGCCTGCAAATGCCCCTCTGAGGGCTGCTCTATCTCCCGTGGGAGTCTGTATACTGTCTTTTGCTTTTCATTCATTTCCTTTTTCATTGTCAATTGATTGTTGGAATTTTAAATTCATTTTGAACTTCTTGAATGCCACAGTCACCACTCAAAAGTGTGTTGTTTAATATTCACGAGAGTGTGTGTTCCATAGTTTCTCTTGGTGTGGGTTGAGAGATTTATTGCTTTGTAATAAAAAAGGAGAAATTATTTCAATTTTTCTGTATTTGTTAAAACTTGCTTTGTGTCCTAATATACGAATTGTTTTATAGACAGTCCGAGGGCTGCTGAAAAGAATGTGTATTCTGTAGTCTTTGGATGGAGCTGTATGTAGGTAGCTGTTAAGTCCATTTGATCTATGATATCATTTCAATCATGTTTTCTGTTTATGTGTGATTCTCCTTAAGTGCCCATCTCCTATTTGTCTCTCTGTCATTCTGTAGGCACACTAATGGCAAGCTCCTACTGAGATCAAACTTAGAGACATTTATCTTCACCTGACTAACATTTTCAGGCCCTGAGTTTCAAAATCTTGGAGAACCCTGCCTGGATACACAGAGTACATGGTAAAGAATCTGAAACATCTCAGTCTGAATTCCTGGATGAGGTGGTACAGTGAGCAACCTCAGACTTCGGGGATAATCCAGGACTAGCTCCTGCTGACCAGCCCCCAAGTCAAGTGCACCCACAGCTCATAATAGCAGGCTCTTCTTTTCATTCATTTGCAGTACTCCCAGCTTTATGGGGCAGTCATGGCTTCACCTGCCTGCAGTACAGAACTCTACAGATTCAGTGTCTCAATTCAATACTGTCTGTAACCACAGTCCCAGCTGCTGTGAATCATGGCTTGATGGAAGGTCCCACATGCTCTGCTCTGTCACTCAACTGTACCACCATTCAGAGGCCCCTCATTGAGGTTAGCAGAGACCAGAGTAAACATGTAGAGTGGAGAAGTGTCAAATCTGTGTATAAGGGACAGAAGCCATGCACGTGTAGGAGAGAGAGAGAGAGAGAGAGAGAGAGAGAGAGAGAGAGAGAGAGAGGAGAGAGAGATCACAGACACAATCAAACCAAGGAAGCAGGTAATGCTAACTTCTCCCTCTCCTCCAAATCCGGTCCCCTTCAGTCTCATCCTCAGCTCTGCATCAAAACACCTGCGGCAGCCTCCTTCATCCCCTCTACTGAACTTACAAAGAAAAATCAACGCCAATACTCTTAAATTATTTCACAAAAAAGAAACAGAAGGAACACTGCCCTGCTCATTTTATGAAGCCACAGTCACCCTGGTACCCAAACCACAAAATTCTTCATAAAAAATAATCAAATACTGGCCATCTAAGTTCAGGAACGTATCAAAAGATTATTCTCTATGATCAAGGAGGATCTATCCCAAAGATGCAGGGATGGTTCAACATAGGTAAACAAACAGAGAGAGAAAAACAAACGTTCATCTCATTAGATGTAGAAAAAGCCTTTGACAAAACCCAGCACCTTTTCATGATAAAAGTCCCGAAGAGATTATGGATATACCTCAACATAATAAAGGCATTTTACAGCAAGGCCATAGGCAACACCAATTTAAATTGAGAGAAACTGAATGCAATTCCAGGAAAGTCTGGAACATGACAAGTTCATTCACTCTCTCCATACATACTCAGTGTAGTACCTGAATCCTAAGCTAGAGCACTAAGACAACCGAAGGAGGTTAAGGGAGTACAAATAGGAAAAAAAAAGTCAAAGCACTCGAGTTGTGTTTTCAGACAATATGATAATATGCATTTCAGCAAAGTAGCTGGATACAAAATTAACTCAAAAATCAGTTGCCCTCTTATATACAAAGACAAGTGAAGTGATAAATTTCTTTATCAGGGAAATATCTTTCACAACCGATTTAGATAATATAAAATATCTTTCTCCATTCATTTACTTATTTATTCACTTTAGATCGTGATCACAGTCCCCTACCTCCTCTTCTCTCAGTCCCTTTCTCCCCTCCCCCTTCTCTGATTTCCCCCTCCCCTTCTCTGAGGAGGAGATCCTCACCCTGCCCCCAGGTACCAACCTGCCCTGGCTCATCACAGCTCATCAGGATTAAGTTAATCCTCTCCCACTGAGGCAGCCTGGCTAGGAGAAAGGGATTCAAAGGCAGGCAACAGAGTCCAGGTCAGACACAGCCCTCACTCCAATTGTTGAGGTTCCCATATGAAGATCAAGCTGCACAGCTGCTACATATGTGTCAGGGGCCTAGGTCCAGGCCATGCATGCTCTTTGGTTGGTGGTTCCGTCTCTGAGTCCCCATAGGCCCAGATTAGTTGGCTCTGTTGGTCTTCTTATGTGGTCCTTGACTGGCCCACCACCCAGGCTCTCAAGCCTCAATCCCTCCCCCAGCTCTTCTACAAAGCCTCCCTGAGCTCTGCCTAATGTCTGGCTGTGGGTCTCTGCATCTGTTTCCATAAGCTGATGGATGAAGCCTCTCAGAAGATAGATATGCTAGACTCCTATAGTGTTGGAGTTGGCACTCTCCTGTGGGGTGGGTCTTAAGTTGGGCCAGACATTGGTTGGCCATTTTCTCAATCTCTGCTTCATCTTTCTCCCTGCATATCTTGTATACAGGACAAATTTTGGGTGAAAGGTTTTCTGGGTGGGTTGATGTCCCCAACACACACATATAGACACACACAAAATTGACACATACAGACATAGACACGCATACATAGGCACACATACATAGACACAAGCATGCATAGATGTGGAGAGAGAGAGAGAGAGAGAGAGAGAGAGAGAGAGAGAGAGAGAGAG